ATGCCCTGCGTTCCGAACGCCGTCGTACCCTCCAGATCAGAGCGTGTAGGGACGAATGGAGAGAGGTTGTCCGGGTTCATGGCACTGAAGCCGGCGATGATGATAAAAGCCACGACGACGATCTTGACTATCGTTACGGTGTTCACAAAAGCTTTGCCAAATCGAACGCCCATTAACAGCACCACCATACTCAGGAACTGGATGAGACCACCGCTGAGATTAGCAGACTGCAGGTTGAGCCAGTGGAAGCTCTTGTCCGGGTACTCAACGAGCAGCCACTCCTCGACCTTGTCCCCCCAGCTACGCGCAACACCAGCACCAGACACAGCGTACTCGAGAGTCAACAGCCATGCAGCGACGACAGCAGGGAGCTCTCCAATCGTGTGGTAGGCGTACGCGTATGTACTTCCAGAGGACGGAACACGGGTAGACAGCTCCATGTACGCAAGCGCATTGAGACAGCAGATAACGCCACCCCGCCAGCAGCAGCAGCAGCCATGTGAGGGTCGTGCATCGGAATAATGCCATTCCGACGGATGAGCCGCTTCTGTCGCAAGATCACCGCCCGCTGCTCAGCGATCACCGACGGAGCGTGCCGCAAAGGTTGAGTGCCTGTGGAGCTGTACAAACGCACCGACTCCTGCAGCTGTTCGAAGTGCTTGGAAGCAATGCCCTGAAGGGTGACGAACGCCGCATCCCTCTCAGAGATGGATCGGAGAAGGACGTCGATCTCGGCGTCTCGATCCAAGACTTGCTGATGATGGAGCTGGGCCTGACCCAACGCAGCGTCAACCTTGATCTGCTCAGCTGCGATGGCCCGAGCAAGTTTTGCCTCACTCAGAGCTACAGCCTTTCGCAGTGACGCATGGAGATTAGTAGACTGCGCGGCAGCAGCCTCCAATCGGGACACCTGCTGTCGCGCCGATGAGAGCTGAGTGGACAAGTCGACGTTGCTGAGAGCAAGAGAGTCCAGTCGCCGAGTCAGTGCGCGGTTCTCCTCCTGAACAGCTTGATTGTCGGCTCGGAGATCGCCAATGATCTGGGGATAATCAAGAGCGGCGTAGTTGCCTTTCAAGATATCCAACAGTTCCCCCGCGGAAGCGGCATGCAAGATCTCTCGGCGCTGCGCGGGATCGGAAGGCTCCACGGAACGAGTAAATCCGTAGGCCATGAGCCTCGCCAAGAAGGTCAATTCTTCTCGGCGCTCGTACCCTTGCTCGTTAGCTCTGGCCATGAGGGAGTCAAGACTCACTGGAGCAGCCAAGCTTGACTGACTGGTGGCGCCCGAAGTGGTGTCGCCCGGCAAGCTCGGTGGGCCAGGAGGGACGCACGCGAGAAGACCCCGCCGACTCCGCGTCAGACTCATGGGAAGTTGTCAGGTCGACCAAACCCAGCTTTAGGCCGGTCGCTGACCCCACGAGTGCCGACGGGTCGAGGAATCGACTCCGCTGGCGCGCCCTCACCTCGACGAGGAGTCGAAGGAGAATGATGCGCCGCGAGTTGTGCTGGAGTAGCATGCGAGGAGTAGGGAGCTGCCAAGTGAGTGACAACGGAAGCAACGAACGTACCGAAGAAGGTGGTGGAGAGCCGCGAGACGTCATCAGCCGAGTACGGACCAACGGTGGCAGAACCAAATGAAGGATTAAGACACTCACCAGCTCGGCTCGTATCATAACCGGGGCAGTTGTGGTGTAGGGAATTCCAGATTCTACCATACGCCAACCTACTTTAGGTCAAGAATCGGCTCGGTCTGATAACCCAGATCTTAGGAACAAAGGATCACGGTAAGTACTCGGTGATCTGTCCGGATATGCTATCCGGATGGCCGCTGAGCTCAACGGTCGCCTGAGCTCAGCTGAAGGGTCGGTAGAGATCCGAAACGACTACATTTCACTAGATATTTGTAAAAGAAGCATAGGATTAAATAGGGGGAGCCGATAGGCCCCCGGAAGATAACAGAGCAGAATTTTCCTAGTCCAAGACACGTGTACACTTTTCCGGTAAGTCCCTGCATAGGGCTGGATTATGCCTGCCGTCAATACTCGAGAGGCATAGTTTGTAGGGTATTGACTGGTAGCGCCAAGAGATTAGGTCGGTCCGGGTAGGACAAAGTCTCGCTACGCGCGAAAGAAAGCCCCGCATACTCAGCGGGCCGGTACGTCGAGCCTCGCTAACGGGTCCGTAAGCATAGCGTCCGCATTGCGTCCGTAGAAGGTAGACACGGCCTTAGATTCGACGTTTCCGCTCCAGATTTGGGCCGACGCCCCCGACGGATCAATGAAATCTGTCTTATCGCTGATTTGAGACGTAGGCAAGCCCCCACACGCTATGCACCTCCCCATGTAGTCTCGCTAACGGGTCCGTATGCATAGCGGCTGTAATGCGACGGCGAATATAGACACGGCCTACGCCCCGACACTTCAGAGCCATATTTGGGCCGACGCCCCCGACGGATCAATGAAAGTTGTCTTATCGTTGATTTGATACGCAGGCAAGCCCCCACACGCTATGCACCTCCCCATGTAGCCTCGCTAACGGGTTCGTATGCATAGTGTCCGCAGTGCGTCCGTAGAATATAGACACGGCCTACGCCCCGACACTTCAGAGCCATATTTGGGCCGACGCCCCCGACGGATCAATGAGAGTTGTCTTATCGTTGATTTGAGATGCAGGAAAGTCCCCACACGCTATGCACATCCCCATGTAGCCTCGCTAACGGGTCCGTATGCATAGCGTCCGCAGTGCGTCCGTAGAATATAGACACGGCCTACGCCCCGACGCTTCAGAGCCATATTTTGGCCAACGCCCCCGACGGATCGATGAAAGCTGTCTTATCGTTGATTTGAGACGCAGGCAAGCCTTCACACGCTATGCACCTCCCCAGGTAGCCTCGCTAACGGGTCCGTATGCATAGCGTCCGCCGTGCGTCCGTAGAATATAGACACGGCCTAAGCCCCGACCCTTCAGAGCCATATTTTGGGCCAACGCCCCCGACGGATCAATGAAAGTAGTCGTATCGTTGATATGAGACGCAGGCAAGCCCCCCACACGCGATGCACCTCACTATGTAGCTTAACGAGGCCGTATGCATAGCATCCGCAGTGCGTCCGTAGAATATAAGACACGGCCTAAGCCCCGACGCTTCAGAGCCATATTAGTATCGGACCGCCCCCGACGGATCAATGAAAAGAAGTCGTATCGTTGATTTGAGAAGCAGGCAAAGCCCCCACACGGCTATGCAACGTCCTCAAGTAGGCTCGCTAAACCGGGCCCGTATGCATAGCAGTCCGCAGGGCGTTCGGTCGAATAATAGACACCGACCTAAGCCCCC